GTTTTTTTCGTAAGAGGAAAATCACTACAAGTACGTAAGTATGGTGGATACCAATTACAATAATTCTGTACAACCCCGAATCGACCCACTACAACTCTAAAACCTTCTTCTACAAGAGTTCGCGTATAAAGTGGTATTTTGTTCAATTTCGTTTGAAAATATCTGGACCTGGTACTCGTTCTGTGCCGAATTTCGATTTGTTTTACTTGTCGTCATTCCTTCAAAGCACAAAAACTATGCTGGTAGATGAGACCCGCTCCAAATCAATTCGCTCTATAGTTGACGATAGATCCATTGGAGACGATTACTGAAAGTAAATCATTTTCTGAACTTATTCCTTCTCACTCCGCTGTCTATACTTTACGGCCAATGGGCCTCGTTTTCAAATGTCCGATTTCTTTAAAGTTGCTTATATATATCTTCATCGAAAAGATCGATACAAAAATCAACCAGTTGACATGGGACCGGCCAACCCTCTTTAATCAATTAGTGTAAAAATTTCACAGTCCAGGATTACTACACCAGCATCGAAGCCCCAGGATTCATCTAAAATTAACCTGCATATCACTACTAGCTAACCTGATTCGCCCAGTACTCATGAACAAACCAGCATGATAGTTCACGAAGTGCCTGAGCTGCTTGTAGTAGAGTAAATGACGGTTATGCACATCATATGCAACAACGAAGGTGACTAAGACACAGCATAAGCCTTCTTACAAACAAAACAACCAGCGTCCACTGGCTGCCTCGACCATTACATCACACGACTATTAAGTCTCCTTGTCTGCTGTATATAAACTTCAGAAACTGAGAAGACCTGTCTGAGTCGCTTCAGGCTGGCACGTGACTTGGTCATGTGGTCACTGAATTCACACCAACTCCCATCTGAGTGAAGACAGTGTAGAATCTATTTTGAAGGCTTTGTTTTTGGAAAATCCCTCCATGTATATATATTTGTGTTACGATATGACTGACTCTTCTGCTCGATATTTTGGTACTCTATTTGATCCTATTTTGAGGTTTTATCATTTGTATATTGTTATTATTTCTATATCTTGTACTTAAATTGAAGTTTCTATGTTTCTTTCTAAACTATATATGTGTTGTTTAAAATTGATATTTAATAAGGCTACAGCCATATTTGGATTTGATACTCTAGCAGCAACTGACTGGAAGCACTTATTCTTCCAGTAACGGAACTTATTGTGGTAATTGGAAACTCGAAGGTGTAATTTTGTTTTGGTAATTGTCTGTATTTCCCTTTTTAATTAAATACAGAACCGTTCTCTCCCAGAATTATCATTTTTGGACTTGAAGTGGGCGAGACGCTTATAAACCTACACCTTTCAGTTTCGGAGCGGACTGCAAGAGTTATACAATTACTTTATAAATAGGCTACCCTCTCTCAAATCCTTAAAGGCGGATGTAAGAAATCTCCAGCTTGTAGCAAACACAGTCTTATTGATAGCAAGGTAATGGAAAGACAGGTGAGTGAGCAAATGGTAGAGTTCATGGATAAGGACAACATCCTCCATCAAATTCAACACAGGTTTGATAAATGTAAGTCCTGTGTAGCCAATCTTCTGATAGCATGGGACAGCCAGACAACCTGTCAGACCAGAAATTACCAGTCCAGATAATATTCCCTGACTTCGCAAAGGTTTCGACACACCTCATGTACTCCTAATTGTGAAGGTTGCTAAGATGGGTTTAACTGATCCACTTCTACCTTCGTCTAGAACCATACCGAAAACATTAGAATCGGGCGCAACGTAATCAACTGGTTTGTACTAGCTCGTGAAAAAGATATTGGATATTGCAGAACAGAAATTTTCGTACCAAGGTAAATAGAATGCATGCGAACTGACGAGTCTCAACACTAGAAGTGTCACAGAAGAACATCTTAGGTCCACAGCTGTTCCTAATATTATTAGATGACTTCTCACGTGATATTTGCTCAGCGAAACTATTCTACTTAGACTATGTGGAGACCTAGAGGTCCATAAAATGCGAATAGGATTCAACCGAGGATCGTAAGGACATTACATCAGCCAAGGAATGGGCGGCTGATAACGAGTTAAATGTAGACCAGTTTATATGTCAGGTTGTACACATTCTGCCCCACGGGACCCAAACAACTTAGACCCTACCTAGTGTTTCCTCGGAACGTGATTTCACTCTCATAACTTTGTACAGCCTGGATACAACTTCAAACGACATGGGGGATGCAGCCGTGGCTAGAGTTACCTTTCACTTGATGCGAATACAACTTGATGCAGTCAACCCTACATATTTTCGACTCTCTATGAAGCATACACACAGCCACACCTTGAAGTTAAAAAATGAAGTGCGGAGACGGGTTTAAAGAGTTAACACTAAGAAGACTCAAGCACCTGGGATAAATCGTGCAAAGGTGTGGGCTAATCAGGGGCTATATCATAATGGCAAACATTCTATTAGGTACACCGAATCGTCCCAACCCGAACATCTCCAAAAAACATCAGAACCAAACTCCTCTAGGTAAACCTCATAAACTTGCACACCATAGAGCGAACACTCAGATGTATTTTGGATATCGGACGAGTATTGTTTGCATTCCAGTATGTGGACTTTCACCCATTAGGAATAGCTGGATCTACCTCAAAAGAACAAGATACAAGCTAAATAAAATCAAATGCTTTATATAAGCTCGTGGAAAAAATATTTTAGTGTATTTTAATGTACTAACATACGGAAATTAGCCCACTCTAAATACGTTATATGAGCTATCATCATATCGTTATCGGATTCCTTAAAGTTCAGAAATTTTCAAGTTTATAGAAATATCTTATAATGTTTACTGTGCGAAACACTCAGTCTCCGTATGATGTGTTTAAATCAGTCACTTTTCAATTCCATCAGCATATGCCTCATATTCAAAACGTGGCGGGATGAGTGTTGATTTGTAACTTCTTCGTCTCATGTAAACATCGGTTATCAAGTTTTTTCCGTCAATAACTCTCTCGTACAAAATCATTCGTTCCACGTTTATAATTATATGATTCAACAAGTCAGATATAGAGATATGTCGCTTTAACCGTAAAATAAAGTTTATTTGCGAGGTCATTATTGTTCATACTAGCCACATGCAGACTTCCTTGTTTAAATGCACAGTATAACATCCTTTTATGATTAGAAACTTTGGTTAATGACTTGGGTAGCTCAAGTGTATGAGACCCTTATTAACCTCTCACACTGATTAATGTTTGTTCACCACATATTGTTGGACTCACTGTCCGTAGTAATGATATTATATATGCGACTGTCATCCTTGCTCCTCGCTAAGCAATGTGACTCTTTGATCAGGTGCACCTCTAAGTTGTTGCTGATCGACTAACCTCTGGTTAGTTGATGGCAATTTAGATATGTGGCAACATTTTCCGGATAAATAACCCTTCCTTATCTGTAGAATAACCTGACATTGAGGATCGCTTTTCCTGTTCTGTTCACAATTTATCAAAATCGAACAAATCTGTCCTAATCCAGTTTTCTTTTACCATTTAAAGAACTGGTGAGATTATCTACCTTATATGTTTCGTGTTTTTTGTTGACTTTTGGGACTCGTTCCCAAAGTTGTCAGTCGCAACGTAGAAATTGGTACGTACCTACATCAGTTCACGTCGTCAAACCAAATTAACGGAGATGAAATTGTCAGGTCAAATCCCACAGCAATAGAGATACTAGCAGTTTTAGTGGTAATGGAGAAGATTAAGAGTCGAAAATAAGCTTTAGGAAAACATAAATCAGTTAAATGAATTTTTCAAAAGTTATAAAGAATTCCGAAGCTTAGAATTTGAGGTACGACAAGGGATGGTAGCAGATAGGCTCTTGCAAACGATTTCAATACAAGTCGTTCAAAGTCTCGAACCACTATTATTATCAACCTGACCACAACCAGGTAGTACAGGAATAAATGATTTGTTTAACTGAAAGGAAGTTTCATACTAACAACTTAACCTCAACACTCTTTCATTCTGAAAGTGATCGAGTCCAATGATTTGAAGAAAAGCAATGGTAGTTCTGAATTAGACACAAAGACACTCCATCGATAATTATAGCTAAATAGCCTTATTACTATCGTGTCTATAACTACTAATATAGTTGGCTGCAGTTTATTTTCCTAATTCAATTAACTGAAGCACAGATTAGAAAAGTTAGATGAGAGACAAATAATGTGCTTTAAACTAGTCTTGTGTACTGATTACTATCTATCTTTAAAATATAACCGGAGTTTGATTGTCTTGGAGGTCTAATTAGACGGACAGTAAGATCACCCACCAAGTTGTTGTGGACCGGCAACTAGCAATATAATCTCTAGAGAATTCATAATAGTAAAGAGAGAGATTGCGAACGACTTCCGCCGTATCCATATTAGGTGATGACCAAGTCGAAAACATCACAACTAAAGTATTAATTTATTTTCCGATAATTCAAGTAATCCGTCGATTGATTCCCACTGACGAAAGTTTCATCTTATCCGAACTATGTCTATAAGCGAAACAAATACCTAAATACAATGTTGTCAGGCTGTGTACCTTTATTTACACGGCTCACTTCAGTTAACAGTGGCTTCGCGAACTGATGCAGTATTTTTTTCTAGCCGCTCCTGGCTTTTAGCAACCTATTCCTACAGCTGACAGCATCGCCTGTCAAGGTAGACAATAGTCAGGCACGCTTAACTACCTCGGTTGTTGAGGGTTCACTAATTCATGAAGGTGGCCTCAATTTTAGAACAAAAAATTTAAGCTATCGTGTTATTCAATCACCTTTTTATATTACTATGGATCTTAGTTATTTGTATATTAAAATTTTATTATCGATGGTAAAAAGTACGAAGAAATTAACACCAAGACTAAGTTTTTACGTAATTGTTAGTTGAGTTAAATGCCAACAACCAGAATCAACTCTCGTATGGTATTCCACTTTTTAGAAAAAGCTCAGCTGTCCCATACTGGTTAATAATGACGTTTCACTCAAGGAGTCTGCTGGTTGGTCGTGAGAAGGAGCAACAGGTTTTGCTTTCATTATTATCTCAGGTACGTGCAAGTTGTGATTAAATATCGGGGACAATTACAGGCAAACCCTTTATCTACATGCTTTGTTATTACTGGCCCTCCAGGTTGTGGAAAGTCAGTTTTGGTTTCCTCAACATTCAAACTTTTGGAAGAATCTTGCGGAATGTTATGGGTGGTAATCAGCTGCCTGGAGAGTTTCGTGGGGACTCAAGGAACAGTTGGAGCTACTTCATCAAGATACTTTCTTGAATTGATTTTGCAATCGATCAAATGCCGATACCTACCCGAAGTCAATTTATGTATTAGTTGTGAAGATACTTCCAGCTTCATAGATAACCTATGCCAAATTTTGCTAGCTATCAAAGATAGAAATGTGCATGACCGAAGTAAGTCTAGATAAATGGCTTTTTCGCTACTTTCAGTCTGTATGGGGTTGATTTTCGAACAGGCTGAAAAACTGTGCGATGGGGAATCATTAGTGCTTCCTTTAATTGTCAATCTTGGAGCTGCTGTCAATGAAAAGCTTAATCAATTGGATAGTCCTCATACACCAGTATTGTTCACCGTCCTGTTAACTAGGTTACCGTGGGAAAAGTTTAATTTTGGAACATTCAGTTTTGAACCTTATGTTATCTCTGTTGAAAGTTATTCTCGTGACCAATTGGCAAGATTACTTACATCTTTTTTGCCGGACGGTGCATCTGAATCTCGTTTCAACAGGTTTGTTGATTTATTGTTAACAGTTTGCTTCCCTGTTTGTCGTAACGCTGGTGAACTCATTCATTTAGTGAATGTAAGTGTATTTCATTTTAACCTTTTCAACAATAGGTTAATTGGAGTGCTTTTGATGAACCTGTCAATAAAGGCTTAGTTGCACCAGATGATGAATGGAGTCAGTGGAAGTTGGCTCAACCATATTTGAAAAAGTCTTTGTCTACTCTGTATTTACGTCATCATGCGGATTCAAATTTTGATTCTGTATCTTCAAGAAATTCTTCAAGACAAAAATTTTTGGAGTTACCTTATTTAACTAGATTTTTACTTATTGCTGCATTTATTGCTTCACATAATCCTCGATCATCAGACAAAAGACTTTTAACAAAGGTGACTACGGATTTCACATTTTCTTCCATAAAATTCTGGTAAAGTATTCTGTTATAAAGTTCTCGATATTAGGGGTTTCAGCTCCTCAAACACCGGTCTTAATTACTTCTAAGATTTCTCAAGTATGCTCATTTACATCTCAATCTTTCCTGAATCATGCGCGTATATAACCGCTCCCAGAGAATACGTACATACTGCCTTTTTGTGCGGGAGCTGCTGTTTACAAAATCAAGAGGACAGTAATCGAGTGTTCGGCACTTTATTCGGCTTGGTGGGTATAACGAATTTCCTCTGAGGAGTTAAAAAATCCTGATTCAGAACCACCCAACCGAAGCTGCTACCTTGACGTGGTAGTCAAGCTAGCTTATCATGATGACCTAACCAAGCTATATTGAATGGAACACCTGTTCCTTTACGCCTTACCATGCCAGACAGGTCGATTGGAGGACGGTCAGACTAAAAGCAGCAACTCAAGGTCTGAGGGCGAAGTCGTACTGCTGAATGTACAGGGGTGTGACAGCAGTAAGGTGTTCCCCTTGGACAAACAGCATCTGCCGCGATGCTGCCTTTTCACAAGTAAGAGAAGGGTTAGGAAGGGTAGATCCTAAAAATGTCACACCTCACCTTACCTCATAGATTTTGGTCTTCAGCACATGTTAGATTCATTTCATGTTCTAATGCGAGCGCGTATTTACTTACGGCTTATTAGACGTAGGGAGCAACTAGAAAAGCAGTTAGGCGACCATGCTAGAGATTCCCACCCCGAGACAGCTTTGAAGGATATCCTAAAAGCAGTGGAAACAGCAGTGATATCTGCTAGTAAGGTAAAGGGAAAAGCATTGAACCTCAGTAGCATCTACCGAACTGATGGATGTTCGGAAACTCATCCTGACTGGCACTGAACATGACGAAGAGCGAAGTTACTTGAGCGTAGGCTGATAAAATGCCTACGCAATGATCGCGAACAGTGGTGGGTAGTGAGATCAAGAGAGATGCAAAAGGGAGTGGCGATAGGCAACAGTAGACAACTGTTCAGACATATCAAAGAAACTGGCATTAGGCAAGACTATCTTGGAAAAGTATGGTCTTATTATTTATTCTCAATTCAGGTGGTTGGACCAATGGGCAGAACACTTCACGGATCGATTCAACTGGCCTTCTGCATCACTTCGGTCTCCCACGATCTCCAGTCATCCTGAATGGTAAAGCGATATAAATCCTCCTAGTCTTTATAAAGTTGAGGAAGTCCCCTTATGACAATCACAGATGAATCTGTGTCACGAATATAATGTAGATGTTAGTCTCTATATTACTTAGATGCCTTACTGGAGCTTGTAAAAAGCAATCTCATATCTGGACGTGGCTGTAAAGACCACATATTACCTGGTTGGGGTCCGCGAGTTGGCAGTAATTGATGTTTAGAGACCTTGAATGACGTAGCTCAAAACCGTGTGGAAAGATGCAGATGCATCTACTCTTCGAGTTCTCTGAAATTCTGGTCCTCAGGATTCTTCATCACCTTTCTCTTTGTTAAGTTATCTCACTGCACTATACTTCATGAATAATTTCTTCGGACCGCAATCTTTCCGATTACTGCTAATACTACTACTATGGAATTTAAGTTGACGATTACGTCTCTGTGCCAATGTGGTATGGCAAACTGAACTGGTGTACGTTCATACGAAGTTCTACGTTGTAGCTGTTTGAGCGTTTTCTAAACAACAGTGCTCATGGGCTCCATGTTCCTGACTGAACGAACGGTGTTTGAACCTGTTGTTCACCGGCTACCATTATGAACTAGTCTTTTGGTTCAAAGGCTCGGGAAGTGACCCTCTGACTGCTTTGGTTTGGGCTCCCGGGCAGCATCTCAGCCCACTAACAAATTCAATCATTTGTGTTATGCATAAATATTTAGATGCCCCATCTGTACCTATATTTATGTGTTTAAATAAAATAAACCCGTATGTGTACAAGATTTTTCCGATTCTTTTATATTTTTCTGCTTAGAACTCCGGACGATTAAGTATTCGTAAGAAGAAACAGGAAAAGGAAGTATGCAAGGTGAGTTATAATTCTTCTCCATTTTTTTGATAACGCTAGCTGTGAACATTAGAGTTTTTTGTACAAAATCTTGATAGTTTTTTACGAAATAGTTCTTATAAATGACCACTGATGTGTATTTTCTGTAAATAAGCAATTTGTTAGTAATTACTCAGTTTAATAAACAGTACTTCAAACAAAAAATTGTTTTGAAGACAAAAATAGGTCACAAACGATGTCTCAGATTGATGTTGGCTAGTGTGGTTGCTGGCAATGTTCGAATTACTATCCTGCCAAATGATAAGACACAACCAGTAATGTTCAATCTTGTTGGATATAATCTGTAACTACCGAAGAAAATGGGTGAGTTTACGCAAAACGTTAGAATGATCAGTTAGACATTAACACCGTCAGATGCCGGCTCAGTGGTCCAGAGGTTATGCGTTCGCGCTCAAAATCGAAGGTCCTGGGTTCGATTCATGCGAGTGACGGCAGTCGTGGATCTACACTGCCGATGAGTCCCATACCAGGACGAAACGGCCGTTCAGTGCGCCCAGGTTCCGAATGGTGTTGTAACTATGATTGATTTATCATCTCAATAATTAACAATCATCCCTTGTATGTTGACATGGTGAGGTACTCGGATCCTGGGTGCGCGTTTCGGAGATGCAACATAAATCAATAGCGCGAGGTGCTTAAGTCCTTATATAAGGAAGCCTGTCCTAATCAGCTTTAGGTTCGAACACTAGAAGCGGAGATAACAGAGTTATTATTAACTATAAGAAGGATTTAATTGTGACCAACTGGGTCTCATGTACTGTTACTTGTTAGAAGGCAGCATCGCGGCAGATGCTGTTTGTCCAAGGGGAACACCTTACTGCTGTCACACCCCTGTACATTCAGCAGTACGACTTCGCCCTCAGACCTTGAGTTGCTGCTTTTAGTCTGACCGTCCTCCAATCGACCTGTCTGGCATGGTAAGGCGTAAAGGAACAGGTGTTCCATTCAATATAGCTTGGTTAGGTCATCATGATAAGCTAGCTTGACTACCACGTCAGAGTAACAGCTTCGGTCGGGTGAATCAGGTATACGTTTTTAGAGCATACTAATATCGTTAAGTCCTCAGGGAGTTGAGATGTTGTTTTTGTGTTTTACTCGATCATTCTGTTGCGAAAATGTTCATAAAGTCAACATGTTTTGCACGTGATTTGTTTATTAGGAGTTCGCAAAATAAAATGAATAAAATTGCACTCCGTGTAATGCAGAAAATGTAAAAAAATTAGCCTCAATGCTTGCTCACTAGTAATAAATTTGATTATCTAAAACTAAGTTAGTTATAATGGAACTTATCCTATAAGCTTAGAGATCATATCCTTTTCAGCCTCCTTTGTGACATGCCTATCTATTATCAGCAAACGATCAGTGACATTACGTCATTATTTTCTACCTAGTCCCTACATGCTTTAACCTAAACACAACTGGTGATCTAACAAATAAACTTGTTATTTTTTAAACATGCTAATCCGAATGCCTAAAAATGGAAGCTTTACTGTTAATATTATTGCATTTGACTCAGTTGGTAATCTGTGAAAATTTCCTCTTGTAAGATAGCTAGTTTTGTCTTGTAAAGCGTCTATAAATATGTTGCTTTGTATTTCGCAGGCACAAATGGAGTTTACTGGACCTAGAGTTTTCACCCTAGATCGCTTGTTGGCTATATTCTACGTCCTTGTACAAAACGAATCATCAAAAGTTCCGTGCACAAGTATTTTAATGAGTCAAATTGCCTGTTTAACAGTATGTGGTCTTATATCTCCAAGTTCACAGGCTTTATCGGTTGGGAATTCATTTACTACTGGATTGAGTACTACAACCAGTTCTATTAGTGCTATTTCTGATTTAGACCCTTTGGCTAATCCTAAATATCGTTGTTTGATAAGTCTTGAAATCGCTAAAGGCATAGCACAATCAGTTGACTTTGATTTGTTAGCTCATCTTGCTGAAAACTATAACTCATGAAGAAATATATGTATAAAACATATTCACTGATTTGTTTGTATTCAATTTTTTTTGTATTTTAGTGTTTGTAAATATGATTTGCATAAGTTTGCAGAAAGTTTACTGTTCAACGTAACATTTTTTTATTTATTTGACTCAATTTTAGTAATGTCAGTTTCTACAGAATGGAGTGGTAGTAAATAAGTGAATTATTTACTTTTGTCAACCAACTTACCTTTGGAAAGAGCTTACTCTAGATATTACTCAGTCCATACTATTAATGGTGATATATTTGAAATAAACGTTTCAAATGTAAGTTGACTAACCTGAAGTCTCTCAGCGACTGCTAAACCTTATTAACCAGATCCAAAATAAACAGTAAATAAAATGACTTTCCACTGTACACAATAGTACACTCATTGACACTAGTTCTTACGGCTACATATATGCCTAAATCCAAGTACATTTTATGGATAAACATAAAAATAGTATTAGTCTGTGAATGGATAAGTATTTAGTACTCATCCAATCTCGTGAAATACGATAAAATTACTGTACAATTTAAATCGGATTACCTAAACCAAGTATGATAAAAACCACATGAGTAACTCTAGCTGATTTTGCGTTTGAACACAGTCTTTAAGTATTTGTTTCGCTTATAGACATAGTTCGGATAAGATGAAACTTTCGTCAGTGGGAATCAATCAACGGATTACATGAATTATCGGAAAAGAAATTAATATTTTAGTTGTGACGTTTTCGACTTGGTCATCACCTAATATGGATACGGCGAAAGTCGTTCGCAATCTCGCTCTTTACTATTATGAATTCTCTAGAGATTATATTGCTAGTTGCCGGTCCATAACAACTTGGTGGGTGATCTTACTGTCCGTCTAACTAGACCTCCAAGACAATCAAACTCCGGTTATATATTAAAGATAGATAGTAATCAGTACACAAGAATAGTTTAGAGCAAATTGCTTGTCTCTCATCTAACTTTTCTAATCTGTGCTTCAGTTAATTGAGTTAGGAAAATAAACTGCAGCCAACTATATTAGTAGTTATAGACACGATAGTAATGAGGCTATTTAGCTATAATTATCGATGGAGTGTCTTTGTGTCTAATTCAGAACTACCATTGCTTTTCTTTAAATCATTGGACTTGATCACTTTCAGAATGAAAGCGTATTGAGGTTAAGTTGTAAGTATGAAACTTCCTTTCAGTTAAACAAATCATTTATTACTGTACTACCTGGTTGTGGTCCGGTTGATAATTGTGGTTCGAGACTTTGAACGACTTGTATTGAAATCGTTTGCAAGAGCCTATCTGCTACCATTCCTTGTCGTACCTCAAATTCTAAGCTTCGGAATTCTTTATAACTTTTGAAAAATTCATTTAACTGATTTATGTTTTCCTAAAGCTTATTTTCGACTCTTAATCTTCTCCATTACCACTAAAACTGCTAGTATCTCTATTGCTGTGGGATTTGACCTGACAATTTCATCTCCGTTAATTTGGTTTGACGACGTGAACTGATGTAGGTACGTACCAATTTCTACGTTGCGACTGACAACTTTGGGAACGAATCCCAAAAGTCAACAAAAAACAGGCAATATATAAGGTAGATAATCTTAATCTCACCAGTTCTTTAAATGGTAAAAGAAAACTGGATTAGGACAGATTTGTTCGATTTTGGGCATGTAATTGGGTAATACAGGGGTAATAATTTTTTCTAATACTAAGAACATTTTTAATGGCAGAAATTTTATTGAGCTAACAGTTTATGATTATATTAGTCTGTGGTCGAAACGACTTCCATTCATAACAAACAATATTTTGTTCCGCTAATAAAAATTAATATGTGCTATGCTTATTATCAATGAAACTGTGGGATCTTAATATTATCTGGCGATTGAATTTCTAACTAACTGAAGGGAGCTCTTGGTGAAACTGCTTTGAATACTGGTCTTAAAATTGGTGTATTTTGATTATTTATAGTTCTTACTGACTTTTTATTTTCCATACAGCACATCTACTCTTGTCGAGATCATACCCCGAATACAACTTAGTAATCAGGAGATTGAGTTTAATGTGCTTCTTTCCTAGTTTGTTTTTAGCTTCAGTAAGATTGTTACTACGAGTAGTTTTTTGATTAGTTTCCAAGCTTACATTGTTGATTACTCGGATTAAACTTACTTTTAGTAGATAAGCTTAGCAAGCACACCGAATTTTCGATTCTAAGATAGTACGAGAAAAAGGCCAATTATTTTCTAAAATCACGACGATAGCTGTGTAGCTAGAATCGTATACGTTATTAAGTACATTAGCAAGCTTGTTCACTGTGACTTAAAACCTACTTGAATTATGGAGTCTTATCGCAGAATAGTCTGAAATAATGCAATACTATAGGACTATTGTGGTAATGCAACTCAACTATTTGTCTGAAAATAAAACGTATTTTATTAGGTCCTTGAGTGTTCACAATGATCGCTAAGGTGTTCTCATAACGTGCACACTGTAATAGTTTGTCTCATACGATAGCTCCTATGAGCAGTAACCTAAGGGTTAAAATGGTCGACCTTCCCAGATTCGAGTCTCACTGGATAGCATCACTAGCCCTGACACTTCGAGCGCGGCTCGTACATAAGTACTTGGCGAAGGAGTTAGTTAAAAATTATCAGGAATTTTAACATTACGTTATAGCTCATAATAATTCGAGATGAATAAATTATTTAATAGATTTTGATAGTAATATGGAGTCCAACGTTTCATGCTGTTGACAACTATTTCTATAGTGTATATTCATGACGGAACTCCATTCAAGTCAGTATTTATGAAATCTTTGTGTAATGAAATTACCCAAATGAGAAAAAAAGAGCTGTTTTTTATGTGCATGATTCAAGTTTTTCCAGTTTATTCGCAAAGTTCACATGTAATTTTGTATTCGAATGTAACATCAAATGATTCTGTAATTTATTTGTCTTGTTAAAGATATTTTCTTCTGATTTTTCATGTGCTTGTTTGGAGCATTGCATCCACCTCCTCAGCAGTTGACGAAAGAACGAACTCATATTGTTCCTAAAAAAAAGCATCTTAATTTACTATATGTTGAGATAAAATGAAAGCTACTAGTCGTACTCAAATAGTAGAATGATTGTTCTCTGTATGACCAAGTTAAGTCACTTATGTACTTGCCTCACAACTTTCAGGTAGTTGAATAGAAACCGAATCGTAGAACACTTCATTCCTAATAGTGTAGGGACGATCTAGTTTAAATGAATGCACAGTCTGCCACTTCGTCATTCAAATAACTGAAGCGACTATCTGTCTAGGCAGTTGAATTCCTTAATATATCAGTCGTTATAATAATATAATCTGTCCCCGTATTGTCATCAACGAACAGTAAGATTTCCACTTTATATAACTTTAGGAGGATCACACAATGTGAAATGATTGGTTTTAGAATGCCAAACTCAATATGTGAAATATGCTAATAGATAGCACATGTAGTTACATTCAGCACAAACTAACCCAGAGGTTACAGTAGAGAAATCAGGTCATAGTCCGTTAAATTTCTTGACCATATTAATATCGTAAGAATAAATTAACTTGTCATCTGATAATTTCCCAATATTGGTTGTACATCACAACATATTTCAGTTTTAAGTGGATGAACTGAAGATGATTTTGTCAATTGCTTATACTAGCTCATTCGAAAGAATTGTCCTCAGTTGAGAGAACATATTGTTCATTAACTTCATCTAAGTATCGCTGATTGTTATAGATGAATTTCTTTTAGCATACTCGCTTACAAAACAGACTGATCATAGAACTTGCTCATCACCTAAAACTTAGTACGTCTGTTAAAAAAGACTGTATAACTTCACTAAAAGTGAGTCTCTTGTACTCAGAAAAACTAATAACAATTTTATAACCTATAGATCCATGCAAATACCACTTGACTAAATCTGTATCTTTCAGCTGGTAATATTTTGTTAGAAAATCAGAACTAATGTGCATATTCTTTAATCACTGCTCGATTTTTGTTAAAATACTTACCAATGATTTTATCATATTAGGTCTTTGATCCCTTAAATGTTCCAGTGAAGCAGCTATGTCAATTTCTTTTATACCCTTGATGATTCGATTTAAGGCTAAATCTAATAAAATATATGCTCCTGTTCGTCCACATCCATCACTAAGAATAAAAATGATAAGATTTTATGTACAAATTAGTAGCAGATTGTAAATTCACTTCATTATAAACTTATATTTTGACACATGAAGCGTAACTCGCATAGTTGTTACCACAAATTAAACCATCTGCATTTTGTAATTATTTACCATGATAAACAATGAAACCTAATTAGTAAGCGGTGGCTCAGTATTTTTAATTTGTTCAGCTTTCAGCTACTAGTTAACTGAGTTGAACGAATTGCCACTTCATTTTAGGCAATCAGATGAGTATTACTATCCTCATCCTTAAACTGTAGCTTGTAGACAAGTATATTAATCAAGTTGAGATTGGTGGAGGAAACCGTTCTTACTTTACAGTTGGTAGTGTTGAAATTTCAAAGCAACAGTGTTGAAAAAATTGAATAGTATTCATTTGAATAAGTCTAATTAGTCAATCCATTCATTCTTTATCTTTAACTGTTGAACATTTGTACCGGCTTATTCTTTGTTAATATGATTAGTAATTTTCTTGTTTTTACTAATACTTTGTTCATATTTTGCTTAAATTCTTTTTTTCTGTATTGTGAAATATTTTGACATATTTAATTACTCTTTATGTGGTTAAAATCATAATACAATAATGAACATGTTCACAGGAGGATGTCAACACCTTTACATATCTTGGCAGCATCATCGACAACCATGGTGGATCCGATGTAGATGTGAGGGCACAGATTGGCAAACCAAGGGCTGCATTTCTACAGTTGAAAAATATCTGGAACTCCAAACAACTTTCAACCAAAACCAAAATCAGGATTTTCAATACAAATGTGAAGACAGTTCTACTGTATGGAGCGGAAACCTGGAGAACTACCAAAGCCATCATCCAGAAGATACAAGTGTTTATTAACAGCTGTCTACGCAAAATACTTCGTATTCGTTGGCCAGACACCATCAGCAACAACGAACTGTGGGAGAGAACAAGTCAGATTCCAGTGGATGAGGAAATCAGGAAGAAGCGTTGGAAGTGGATAGGACACACATTGCGGAAAGCACCTAACTGCGTCACGAGACAAGCCCTCGCATGGAACCCTCAAGGCAAAAGGAAAAGAGGAAGGCCAAAGAATACATTACGCCGAGAAAG